ACACATATGGAATGGCTCAGATGCATTGAAGACAACTCAGTATCAGATCCAAGGAGAGACAAGCTGCAGTAGCTTTGAAAAAACAGGAGGCCATGTTTGGGCCAGACCCATGACCCATGGGCCAGACCCAGACTCATCACCCTGAGCCTGAGTGCCTTGGGACCAAGAGAGCTGAGTGATTAAAGCAAGAGACCCTTAACAGGAACTCAAGAACTCTGCCCTCTCTTCAAAATTTGAACATATTTTTCCTTATAAGCCAGAGACCCACACAGAGGTGAGAGAGAAGGAAAGCAGTTTCAACAGAGATCACAAATACTCAGAAGACATTTGATGGGGGTCAAAGGTGGGTCAGTGACACCGGGTGGGCTACACAGTATAACTTCAGCCACATAATGCTTCATTGGAGGTGGCACCGGCATAGGCAACCTGTGCATAGGGGCATGACTGAGGAGAAATGCTCTCCTTAAATGTTTTCAAATTCCAGAGAGCAAGAGACTGGAGGTCTTGCATTTCGCAAGGAGAGAGGAGGAGGACTGGACTTAAAAACAAATTTGCTTAGAATCTATAAGCTGGGGAAGCCAAAGAAACCATTTGGTAGCATGAATGTATGTAGTCAAAGAGGAAAGAGATAGTAGAAACAGAAAAAAAGAACGCTTAGGAAAAGTATAAGATCTCAGAGAAGAGAAGAAGGAACTGGTGAACAGCAGAGTTAAAGGCATTGGTCTTGGAAAGAGGTAAGCAAACCATACAGCTGGGAAGGGATGGGGCTTACTGTACTAAACCTCTTATCTAGCAGTCTAAACTCATGTGAGTTAGGCAGGTGATGCCATGGGTGGCACAAAAGTGTTATGTTGGAGGCCAGGAGCAGTGCAGTGTGGGGATATAAAGGTCAGTGTGATTCAAGACAGTCCCTCAAGGGGTACTGATGAAGGATGGATGTACTGCATCAGCGGTCCGGTGGAGATTTGACATGCAGTGTATCTCATTAGCACACAGATGGAAGACATGTCCTGAAATGTTACCCTCCGGAACCATCATGAGGATTTTTGAAACAATTGAAAAATATAATGAATACCTATGATGTGTAAGGCAAACTGCAGAGGAGATCCTCACAGTGTATGAGGTGAGGTTCAAGCCTTGAGGCTTCAGAATTTAGAGGAGACGCATGGCAGAGATTGCTAGATACTAGATGCCTAACCACCATCCATTTTCTCCTTTTTGTTTTTCTTATTCACAGGACCTGAATCCATTCCAGGTGGCACTATGTTGATAAAAAGAATGTATTTTGCAGCTTTTCTTAAATCTAGAAGTGGTCAGTGAAATATAAGTAGAGTCCTTGGGGGTGGGCTTTCATAAATATTCTCTAAAGGGATCTGATCAGGTAGGAGGCATATCCTTTTGCCACCCTCTTTTCTGCTTCTTAATTGGAATGAGGATGCAATGACTAGAACTCCAGCAGCCATCTTGGGCCATGAGGTGAACTTGAGAATGAAAGGCCCATGCTAAGTTTAGTGGAGTAGAAAGGGAGATGGAGCCTAAGCTTCTGGTGCCTTTGGACAGTCATACAGGTCCTACATTACCTACTTGCTTCTCTTATATGAAAGAGAAATGCATCTTTACTTTGTTAAGACCATTTATATAGATGTGTGTGTGTATATGTATATATATATATGATGTATATGTATATGTATATATATATAATATACTAATCCTGTTGAAGGAGAAAAGACAAACTTTTGAGAAGTTAAATATGGGAGTCACATAACAGCTCAAGAGAAGAGATGCTTAATCAATTTGGAAGACAGTAAAGACCTCTCATCCTGGGAGGTAAGGAAAGTATAAGGTCAGGAAGTGGGCAAGGAGCTAAGTTATCCTGACCTTAAGCTTCCTGGGTGCTGTGTACCATCTCACTGTGGTTGCAATAACAGGTTAGCAGTGAGGCAGCATTTTGACCCAAATCTGTCTGTTTCCAGGCCTTCCTAATCCTAAACTGCAGTCTCTGTTCTATACTATTTCCTCTTCCATTGGAGTGATACCATAAAATTATCACTTAAAAGGATTCTGCAGGGCATTGCATCTGTGATGTTGGTGTATGAATGAACAAATCCTATGATTTCTTGGGGTTGCAGTCAACAGGGAACAGAGTCACCGTACTAAGGAAGAGAACTGATACTCTGCCCTTGGTGAGTGTAAAGGGGGCAACTGGGTGATTCCAGGAGTCATCTGAGATCTGAAGGATCATTAAGTCACAGGAATCAGTCCCACACACCTTGCTCACACACAGCACAGTATCTGGATTCCATCAGTCCACTGCAGGAGAGAGCACACATCAGATCTGTGCATCCAAATTACGGAAGAAATTTCATTATCTCTGGGGTCTTGGCCTACAGTCCCACTCTTGCTTGAATTTCATGTGAAGAAAGCTCTCAGATGAGACACTTTTTCTGAATGTTTGCTTCTTCCCCAGACATTCAGCCAGCTGCTTTGCTTCGTAGCTCTCCCATATCACCAGAAGGGAGACGAGAACACATCTCCTGTTGCAGCCTCTACTTCCAACATGAGTTTCTGACCGTGGAAACACTAACAGTTTTCAAAGGTTTTCTGGACCAACAAGACACTGAGAAGGCTCATTGAGGGTCACCTTGTTGAGAACAAGGGTAGGGAAGAGACCACACCTATTCCGCTAAAGGCTAAACAGAACTGCCTGTTTTAAAAATCAAACACAACAGATTCTTCTATTTCCAGATGCTTCCTCACTTTCGTGCTCTTTGATCAGACAGGGTGAGCAATGATCAGACTCAGCGTCTGGGGGGCCTTAACGAGGCCAGGCAGTCCAGGACACAGTCCCGGGGAAGGGCAGGTGTGCGAGGATGCGAGGAAGCAACGGCCAGGCACTCCTGCGTCCGCGACAGACAGGGGACAGGCGGCTGTCTCTCTACCTAGGGCAAACTTCTCTCCGTCCCTAAGCGGCACTCGGCTTCCCCTTTCCCGACTCCTCTGCCCCTGCCTTCGAGGGGTTTGAAGGAGCGAGTGCTTTCACCACCCGTCCAGTCCCGCGCCAGCGACTCCTGGCACCTTTGCCCCTGGGAGCGCAGCAGCCGTGCGCGCCGCGGGACGGGGTGCTTAAGGCAGGGGGAGCTTGGGGACCGGGGAAGCTGCGTCTCTCGAACTTGGCTCAAGAAACCCCGCCAGCCGTGGAGCTGCAGGACGAAGCAGGTCTTTAGCCGAACTTGGGCAAATTGGAGCGGTCGCCGCCGCGCGTGCCTCACCGCGCAGGCGAAGTGGGGAACCCTTTTCCCACCTTTCGGGACCTGGTCGCCAAGAGGTCGCCTCCTTCCCTTTCGGGGCAGGGTCTGGCGGGCCCGCCCCCGACAGTGGTGAAGTCTCTTTCCCGGCCACACCGGTGCGAGAGCCGCGGCCCCAGGCCCCAGGGCGCCCACTGCGGGCCGCACCCGGGCAGTGCAGCTCGTGTCCCTGAGCTCCGGTGACCGCAGGTGAAGGAAAGCCGCCTTCACCCCTCGCCGCGCCTCCCGCGGGGCGCCGTCGGGCCTGCAGGGCACACAAGCGGGCAGCGTGGGCGCAGCCGTGGGCCGCCGACCCCTGCCCCGGCCAACCAGCCCCGCGCGGTCCTGCCACCCCTGGACCCATTTCTAGTGGCCTCACAAGCCTTCGCAGCTGTCCCCATCTTCCTCTCGGGAGGCAACCTGAGCACAGGGGCATCTGGAATGAGGTCACTGCCACCTTGATTTTTATTTTGGAAGGGGCTTAGTTGTGCTTAAGAGGGTGAGCTGCTTTGCGTTTTTCAAGTAGGGTTTAAACTTACACTCACACAGAATTTAGCCTCTAATCGGCCAGACTTATTTAAAAGGCACCGAGTAAAATCTTCCAGTTTTAACATCCACTCTGGTGTTTGCTGGAAATTTGCCACCAAATTTCGGCTCGAGCTGAAGGTTACCAGGATTTATCATTGTTTCCCCAGGATGTTTAACCCTCATGGGCACTTCTTTCATTTAAGATACTTAAAAAAAAAAAATCATGTAAGCACTTTGGCCATTTTGTTTAAGAAATTTGTTTTATCTCGTCTGATTTTGAAATCCAGAAATATTTCTGAAATGGGGAGGAGGGAAGGTTGGAGACAGAAAGCAGCTGTGTACCAGGAAATAATAAGTATCATGCAAAAATATCACAGCTAATAGATGTCCTTTAGGAGTGGAAATATCTATTTAATTGCTTTAAAAAAAGTGGGTGGAAAAACACAACTATACATTGTGATAACAAACCTGTACAGATAATTTCTGAACGATACAAAACAAGTGCTGAAAATTTTTTGTTTAGGATTGAAATAATTGTTCCAAATTATGACACCACCTACCCAAATATCATGTTGCCCTATCTGCAAATCCTTGAAGAGGAATAGTTACCAATCCAAAGCATTTAGACTCATTCTTAATAAAAAGAAAATTGCATAGCTTTTTATACTGTTGTACATCCTCAAATGCATCTTCCAATATCATTGTCAGCTTAGTGTTATTCTCGATTTTTTAAATGTTCGATTTTTCAGAGATACATAATATATAAATTCCTAATAATTATAAACACATTTTATTCATTTGATTTTAATAACATGCATTTTCATAATTACTGTACAACTGAAGTAGACATTGAATTATGCTGTGTGCATGTCTTTATTCAACAGTATATTCTTAGACACCTTGCTCAAACAAATTAAAGGAATTTAAAAGAAAATAAAACATGAAAAATAAATCCTTCCAGTAGAAACAGAATCACAGTGCTTTACAGAACAAAAGGAAAGGAAAAGAAGTTCTCATAGGAAAAGAGATTTATTATTACATAGAAAATTCTCACAATAGTTGAAACACACTCCAGAAACTAGTAAACACCTTAGATAGAGTTGTGCCAATTATTCAGCCCACAAGCATCTGCTTTGTCTTAATTAGACGGGGGAGGTGAATGACCACTGTTTATTTTCATTTTCCTCATTAATTATGAAAAACTGCATTTAATTCATCTTGCATGGTGAGAGATTGGCTGCGCAGATGTAAGTCGTAAGGGAAGTGGCTGTCAGTGGGCAACCTGAACATGGCACCCTGCCCAAGGGGACCCCTGGGTGGCACTGCACAGTAATGCATGCCATAATTGTAATTTTTGCCATAGTCCAAGGTTTCTTCTTGCTTCAGGGAAAATATCCCATTATAGTTAATTGGGGGAGGACTTAAGGGACCTTCAAACTGAGGGCTGGCACACTCAGGGGAAGTGCTTTCATAGAAGGATTCATACGCACTGCAATAATTGTAGGGTTTCATGGACTTGGAATTATCAAGAGTTCCATGCCCTGGGGGAGTGGTGAGCTCAGGGCTGTGGTAGGGTGGGTAGAAGGTAGAGTAGGGTGGCCTTGTGTGGTGTGCAGCCTCCCCACCCTGACCCACCAGGAAACTCCTGGCATTGAGCTGCAAGCAGCCTGCCACCAAGTTTGTAGTTGGCTGGGAAAGACCTTTGCATAAGTTTTGGACGAACGTGAGCAGATCAGGTCTCTTGCCGATTCTCAGAATTTCAGAAAGTGCCCAGATGTAGTTTTTGGCCAGTCTTAAAGTTTCTATTTTGGACAGTTTTTGGGTTTTAGAATAGCAGGGGACCACTTTTCTCAAATTGTCCAGGGCGTCATTGAGGCCATGCATCCTGTTCCTCTCCCGCGCGTTAGCTTCCTGTCTCCTGAACTTGACCCTCTCCAGTCGGAGCTTGGTCGTCTTTTTTTTCCTAAGACCCCTCCTTCTGGGCAACCCGTTTTCATCTTCCTCTTCCCTGTCTTCCTCCTCTTCTTCTTTCTCAGTCTCTTCTCCAGGGGCCCTTTTGATGCTCTTTCCTCGAAGGACAATCTGTTTGGAAAAGCTTTCTGGTTTCTTAATTTGCTTCTGGTCCTCGCATTCTCTAGAAAACTTTCTGCACATCTGGGATTCTGGCATTACAACAGACTCATCAAACGGTAGTGTTAACATGGTTCTCTAACCTTAAATTACCTGAAAAAATGCCAGCACAATATTTAAAGTGTTTTCATTTTTGAAGTTTATACACATAAAACATATTCAATGACTTAATCATAAGAATACGAAAACATAAGAAAAAACTGATTCCAGGACTAATTTTTTATGTTAAATAAAAATTTTGAGTTTGTGCAGCCTAATAATTATAAAAAAATTGACACATGCAATAGAATTAATGTATACAGACAAACTATCAAAAGAAAATAAAACATAAAGTATTTATTGTAATACCACCACTACCTCCATTTCTCTTTGATTTTAAACTGATTTTTAATACACAAAAAGGACCGTGGAATTCAATCAAATGCAAAACATGATATAGCAATGCAGAATTTCATTAATTCCAATTCCCCTGAGTGCAAAATGAGAAGAGACACCAGTTTTTAAAAGAAAAAGTGCTGTTTCTCCATTAGCTGACAAATTTGTAGAGATTTTGTTTAGTAAGAAAATAAGCCTTAACTTTATTTACTGTATTTTATAGCAGTGAATTTAGATAGTAGCTGTAGAAATACACAAATTTAAGGAGAAGATTAATCAGAGCCAATTTAGAGAACTGCTTTCTTTCTGATCAGTAAAGAAATATGTAAAAGAGCACTATTTTTCCTACCTTTACAAAACAAAAAAAAGTGGGGAGAGGATTAGGCTAATTTGGGATAAACTCTATAAATAAATTTTCAAAATCACTGGCATTGTTTTAAGTTAAAGAAAATAGTGAGACTCCTTTTCTATTTAAAATTTTTCTCAATGTAACTGTTTACTGCTATTAAAATCATCCTGACAAAAAACAGTCTCGTAGTGTTTTTGTTCTAGGAACCACAGAAGTCTCCCTCTAGCTAATATCTGACAGGAACGGTCCAAGGATTCTGACTGCAGTTGTGCACGTGTATTCAGAATCCTGAATGAAACGGAAAAATAATTTGTGTTTCAAATGCAATTTTGGCTTTTGTTTGGTGAAGCAGCAAGTATTTTCATCTAAAGTCTTCAAACAAATAGGCATGATAAAACAGAGATTTTTTAATTAAACAATTTCTAGCTCCTTCAACACACACACACACACACACACACACACACACACACACAAACTCTTAGTAATGTCCACATACTTGCAGTTACATAATAGCAGTGAAAGTATGTGATAATTACATCATAAGAATGAAATATGATAAGAACTTATAGATGACAAAGAGCATATAAATACTATAAGACAGTGACACTGTATCTTTAAATACTTGCATGCAAAGCCAGCATCAATTGAAGTATATCTTTATTTATATTACCTTAGGTTTTAATTTCATTCAATAATCAGTTTTCATTTTGGATCTTCCAAATCTTTTCAGGCTGAGTGTCGCATCGTCTCCTGGAGTCTCTAGATCTGTGTGTATCTGCACTATCTCATTGATCTCTAAAAAGTGACATTGATGCCAACTGCCAGAGCTGGTACCCATGCCATCTGCTAGTGACGTCACAGGGCAGAGAGAACCATGTGATCCTCTCTCTTGGGACCTTCATTCTGCACTGATCATCTGGCATCCCTGTAAGTGGGTACCAGCATTCATGCATCAACACAGAAGGTTAGACTGATAGGAAAAAAAATCTGCACCAGCCTTTCACATACAGTAGGTGCGTTTCTCCTCGAGCTGCTTCGGCTTCACTGGCAATCTGTAGAAATAGCTGTGTTAGTGTTCAGTTTCTCCCTGCCAACGGTACAACTATTAGGCAGTCGTTAATATTCCATTCATTTACAAGATGGGCTTTTGTGTGAGTGAGAGAGGTTTTTTTTGTTGTTGTTGTTATTGTTGATGTTTTGTAAAGATCACCATCCCGTTTGTGCACCTGGGTACCCAGGGGAAAAAAAGGCAGTGAAAAGGAGCTGAAATCAGGAAAATGGTCTTGAGATGCTTAACCAAACTAAGATTTGTGTAAGTGAACGGGGATCAACAAAGGTCTTCTGATTTCCTTGTTTTGTTTCATGGCATGAAACTTATGGGTGTGTGTCTGTGTGTTCTCTTATTAACATGTAAGACTTCTGTGCTCCTTAAGAATTTGGAATAAAAGAACAGTTTCTCCATCTGGGGTCTGTGAAAGACATGCTCAGATGCTCCCCTTTCTACACTTGCTGGTATCTTTCAACAACTTTTCAGAGAGATTCTTTGTGTATCTGTATAAAATGCAGAGACAACTGCAAGCCCACTGTGAAAGATTTCAAACTATATTCTCATGCCCTCTTCCCAAAGTCACAACTTTACTCTCTTATTGTCCCTGTCTTTACAGCCTTCACTGACCTGTTCCTCATTTCATTTCATAAACAATAAACATAAAAATGATCACTCAGGATTTTGTCTTTCTCTCCCTGACATTCTGCTGAGTATTTTAATCAAAGGTTAGCTTTCCTATTTTTTAGAGCTTTCAGATTTTTTTTCTGTTCTCCTAACAATCATCCCTTCACATTTTTTCCCTTGTAGATCAAAATCAATTTAAATATCTTCTCATCTTTATACCAATATCCAGTTATTTTTCTGTCAGATTTTTTTCATATTTATCTTTTTCCTCCCACTTTTTCCTTTTGGTTTCTTAACAAAAGCAGGGTAGAAACAGTTAAGTAAGGCTGGCAAAGCCTTATGGATAAAACGAACTGTGAAGCCAGAGGCAAACCTCGCCTTCTTTTCTCTACTCCCCTGCCACTGTCACCCCAACCCCTGAAATAAGAGGACATTTTATTTCAGGATTGCCTGTCAACTAAAGTTAAAAACGTACTTAAAAAAAAATAAAAGTTTAAAAATAGACAAACACAACCTTTGTTGTTTGACAACTGAGTAATCTCTTTCTATAAAGTGAGACAGTATGCTTTTGGTATTAAAGTAATCCCTGGCAGAGTCGTAACTGTTGAATCTGTGTTAGCATTCCCCTTATAAATCCCAGTTTTGAAAGGTTTAAAATTCTGCTGCTTTAATGCATTTTAGTTCCAAATTGGCATCGGGGGCCTCAAGCTAAATGCAGTTTTCTCCTGTCATACCCCACTCATTTCCGTCTCCTCTCAAAGTTACCTGACTTTTCTTGGACTGTTTTAGAAAATTTGGAAGAAGTTGACAAAAAGAAGAATCATGCTAAGTAAAGGAGGGTTATTTTTTTCTCTCAATGGTTTGGTTTAAAAATGCAAATTTAAAATAAAAATAAAGCTATACACGCGTAACTTAAAATAGGTGGTAGGTTGGCCTAGCTCGTGTGTTTTTTTTGTTTTTTGTTTTTTTAAATAATCCGACATGTCAAAGGCATTTCAAAACGTGTTGTTTAAGGGGATAGTCCTGGTAATGGGTGCCTTGAGTCTATTTCCTATAGCTTGTGGTTCAGAAACTACATATACTTTTTATATGAGTACAGAGAATTTCTATAGGAAGACCAGGTGCAGATTTTGTTTGTTCTCAAATATAGTTTACTTTTCAAATGTGAAGGAGCGTAAGTACCAGAATCACAAACCGCAGAGCAGCCAGCCTTGTCATGAATGTTGCATATTGCACTATATCCTAAAGTTACAAAGTCTCCAGAAGCCGCATTGTATTACAGGCATCACAGACATGAAAATCAAAATTCAAGGAACAGATAATATGACGTGTTGATAGAAAATTATCACCGATGTAGCTCATCCCAGAGATAGATTTTATATTTTATCTTTGCTAAGTACAGACAAATGAGAAACAGCTTTCCATGAAAACATTTGGGGCTGTTCTATTTCTGCCTTTGAACATGAAATAAAATTCTTTGGTGGTGGTAGTGATGTGCTGGGGTGGGGGGAATAGACTCTGTGTTGAGGTTTTCTGAATATTAATCTATTGCTTGATAGTCTTAGTTTTTTTTTTTTTTCCAAAAAAGAGAGGAAACAAAAAGTTATGTCAAGATTTAGCAAGGATTCAGTATGTTTGTACAATAATCTTTCAAATAAAATTTCATTATGCATTTTCTACTATAGTTCAGATATGCAAATGTCTGTGCTGTTAATATGCATTCATAACATACACCATAACGGCTGTTCTACTCTCTGCTAAGAAAGCATGTTAACACCAATACTCTAAACAGAAATACATTCTGAGTTATAGACACATACTCAGAGTGTGGGGCATGTTTCATCCCCATTTCTATAACCGATTTTCTCATTTTACAGCAATCACTGCACACCAAAGTTTACATCTACAACTCAATTCGTTATTAATTGAACTGATATGATCTTTGCTTCTGGGGCCATGATATTTTATAATAGATTTTTTTTAAGTGCCCAGTGTCAGTCTGTCTGCCTCTGTCTTGCTTTCAGTGGGTGAATGTTCATATTTCACTTATAAAAATGACCCAGAGAAAATTTAGATATAATTTGACTCAGTTGCAAGGCAACAGAGACTGAAAGTCTAAATTAAGGCTCAAGTGTTATTATTTTTAGGTCATTCAGTTGGTACCTGTGTCTTAGCAAATGGGAATTCTGTTGACTTTCCTTTTCCCAATCCCGTCATTATTTAAGAGATCAGTTTGGAACATGAAAAGCATTTTCCTTAGCTCTCCAAGGGTTTAAGGCAGCAGAATGCAGACCTGCCCAGGATTAGGCCACAAAACCTCAGGACTGGAGTTTTTTTCCTCACAAGTAGTGTACTTTCTGAGAGAGATATTGGACAATTTTCTCTATTGCCTTTCTTTCTTTTTTTTTTAAAGCTCTTAGACAAATGCTTCAGGGCAGCCTGGAAGCCTGTGAGCCTGCCAGTGTTAATCCCTAGAGTTTTAACTCTGTGATCCCCATTGCCTTGAAAGAGTTTTATGGCTGTGGCAGAGCATCCCACTTTGGAAAACAGCCCTTGGGATTTAAATAAAGGTATTTAAATTATAAGACAAAAACACAAAACAGTCTTATTTCCCTTGAAGCTTTAGAGGACTTAAAATATAACTTAAATGAAGATGTCTTAATAGTTTGTCTACAT